CCCCCAAAACCCCAAAACCCCAAAACCCCTTCAATCAATAATTGTAGCATAATTAACATTTAAACAATTATAATCCTTCTAAATTTTTAATATTAACTAATTACTAAACTGGATGAGTTTAAACTCATTGCAATAATCATGGAAAATAATTATTAATACGGAATTGCAAGTATCTGTCTTCTGATACGTGGCTTCCAATTTAAAAGCGATCATTCAACTATTACGCTATTAAATCACTTGGACTATCATGAGGGAATTCATTATAATCTAGAATTTCATCTTGTATTTCAAAATCATTTTCTTCTATTTATCGGCTTTGAGGAATACTGATTTCATTTTTATTATAATTAATACTCGAGTAATTTTCTTAATTTTCTTCATTGCGACTAAGTCGGTCATCATGCTAACTTTAAATCTGAGATCTACGTTTTACTTTTGATTTTTACTTTTTTTGCTTTTCTACTTTTTGGCTATTTTAGCTTAAGTCTCTGAGATTTTTCTTAAAAGGGACTACTTATGTACGTGCATCATCTTTCTTGGAATTGAGTATATCGATACTTCCAGAAATATTATTTCGAGCCCTCTTCAATTTTAAGGTATTAACTGGAGTAAGTTGTATTCTTTTGCGATCATTCTAAAATTCCGTTTATTACATGACTGACATTATATCTGTTGAATCTATCAATTTATCATCTTAATCACTGACTAAGTCAAGAAAAATCTTATTAGATCTCTAAAAATCAATACTCATTTCACTACTTTATCCATCTAGAAAATCTTAAACTTAAATTATATTACTTGAAAATGAATTATCTATCCCTCTTAATTTGCTTGTCTTTGAGCTTTTATATGTCCTATTATTCTTCGGGTGATTATCGTTTATCGATATTTGCCTGCTTAGTTTAATAAACTTTATAATCAATGGATGCTATAAAATGAGTTATTACTACACTTTTAATGAAATAGTAAAATTAATGATATATCAGAACAAGTGAAGGATTTTACTCACCTTTAAGCACTAAGCAGCTGTAACTCTTTTATTTTAGTCTCTCTCAAACATCATGTTCATAATTTCTAAGAATCCTCTGCTTAAATTCAAATTTTATCGAAGCAAGCGTTATTGAGGATCCAAGTTAGTGTTATTAAATAGAACTTGTTCAACTGTATTGCCTGGAAAAATATGTTCTTTCGTAAGTAAGTTATAAAAGGTGCATGCTAAACTAAATAAGTCACTCTTCGTTGAGAATCTTTCTCCCTTTAATACTGAAGGATCAACATATCCAGGAGTCCCACATTTTATTTTACTATTGATAAAATCCTTTTCATTTATTGCTATGCCAAAATCACTAATGCAGATAAGCATCTTACTTTGATCTTTGATTAAAATATTATCAGCTTTCAAATCTCTGTGAATAATTCCTTTCTGATGCATGAAGTTTAATATTTCAAGGAGCTATTTTAAGATCTTAATGCAATCTTTCTCATTAAGAGGTGAGTTCTATAATGCATATTCTTAAAGAGATCCGTATTTAGCATATTCAAAAACAAGGTGAAAGTCTGATTTATATTAGTACACTCTTTTTAATTTTATTACTCCAGGGCAAGTTTTCAACTGTCTTAAAATGTTTATTTCCCTCATCATAACTCTTTTGCATTCACTGTTGATGTTTAAATATGATTTTATCGCATATAGCTTCTTGGTAATGAGATCCTTATATAAGGAAACCTCAGCCTAGTTTCCGCTTCCAAGATATTGCTTAAATTTATATTGTCTATTGATATCAATACCATATATTATCGAATGCTTTTTAAAGTTTAGACATATTTTTTCGTATTCTGATGTGGTATTAAAGGTTATCAAAATTCTTTCTTAAGCTTAATTTATATGCCAAATCAAAGCTTATAAATGGAGTTACTCGTTGGCTTATGAATTTGAGATCATTTTTACCTTGATATTAGAAAATCCTAGATAATAATAGAGTATACCATTTTCCTAAATATTTTATACCCTGATGACTAAGTAATCACAAATGCAAGCAATACCATAGGACTGAGTAGTTTGATTGAACTTAAGCTTTTTGTTTAATTGTTAATTCTTATCATTTTATAAAATTCTCAGTTATATTTGATAGAAATCCTCCTGTTCTAGATCAATATTTTGTTCATTTATTTCAATTGGTCTTATAGTAGATAAATAGCTCATCGATTTTGATTTAAGAGTTTAACTTGAATTAATTAAAAATTATTATTTCTTGATTAAATTGATTCTTCCAATAATCATCTATTACAGACTCGAGGGGTTTTGGGGTTTTGGGGTTTTGGGG